ATCTCTAGCTTTAATTTCCCAGTTGTGGATTCAATTATGAAATAAAATTTAAATTTAAGACGATCGGGACACGCCTTTGCCTTATTTTTTTATTTCTAGATGATATCATTGATCTCTTTTCATTCAGAGCCTCCTCCAAGGGTGTGGTTGAGTAGAGATCCCTGACTCCATTTTTCACAGCAGTACTTGGTCTAATCTCAATCGTATCCCCCGATGAGGGATTAACTAGAGCCACCTATGAACGAGATTTAGGAATTCTTGCAATAACAAAAATCTGTGTTTTATATTCGGTATGGGTTCTGATGAACTTTCCGATGAAATGGCGATGGTGAACCCTCATTCAAGTTTTCAAAGGTTTATTGTTTCAGAAACATTAGTCAACATGGAGCTGGGTTTCCATACTTTTGATTGCTCTTTTATTAGAGGAGTTACCTCTACAACCGCGGTTTTGTTTTGAAAATGAATAATTCGTGGTAGAATTAGCGGGGTCGATATCGTTGAGGAAGTAGCGATTGCAGAAATTGCAAGGCAGCCACAATTAAAGGGGGTAACTAAATCCTTTGTTTTGAGAGGAGGTTTGTTGTCTTTATCCCCAGTATGAGTACAATTACGATGACCTGGCAGCTAAGAATGAAAAAAAAAAAAACTGTTTCTGCGCCCAGGCATCAAAAAGGCTCTGACAGGAAACCGGAAACCCTACTGGGCTATTTAAGTGCGAAGTGACCTAAGATATTATGTAGAATTTGTATTTAGGAGCGCCAATTACACCTTGACGGTCTCCAACGATCATGGGATCATGGGTACCCGATAATGTTAGGCTTTCTACTATCAGTAACATTTCAACACGTCTATTAGCTTGAGAGTTGTTTCCTACGACGGTTGAGGCGACGTTTTAGTCAAGTCAAAAAACATTTTTACGCAGCCTAAATGTATAGGCATGTATACGATTATTGCGCATCGGCAAACATGGACTCTCGGTCATTTCCTTCCAATTTCTCCCACTGACTGTCCGTTACTGCTGTTTATTTGATTCGCAGTTACAAAAGGACACAAGCTTTGGACGCGTCCGATATCAGTACTGCTCCCTACTGCCTTTGAATATCATAAATTCGATTAATAGTTGGCTGAGGCTACCGTTTTTGATAAGGACTTAAACAATTAGATGTATTAATTTTTTTTCTAACCTGACAATTTTTATATGTTTTTAGGATCAGGGCTAGCTCTTTATACAAGTCATTTAAAAAATATATATAAAAGGTACACAAGTCTTTCTATATTTTTGAGCTCCTTGGGACCTCTAAAGGGGTTTCTATCTAAAGAAGCCTTTATAATAAATAAAAAACACATCAAAAGAGAGATGAGCCTAGGTAGAAGGCGACCTCTATATTATTCTTGGATATATAAAATACCACCTTCAATGGGTCTTTCAGAAAACCTTAAATGGGTCTCAGAAAACCTCCAAAGGTCTAATACAGTACGTATACAAAGGCCTATAAATGATTTTCTATCTACAGGAGACATGCATAGAGGCACTTCAGGTGTCTCCCATATATACATAGAAGTGAAGGGTTCTCGGAATACGTCTAAAGTCTCATTTATCCATAGAATGCTTACGATGGGTCTCCTACGGAAGGCTTCTGAGAGGACTTATTCTGCAGAAGACATCCGATCATTGATAGAGATGGGCAGTGGGTAAATACCCAAAGGGTAAATACCCAAAGGGTAAATACCCAAAGGGTAAATACCCGGTAAATTGGGTAAATACCCATTTGTGGGTATTTATTTGGGTATTTACTATATTGAATCGGTAATACAACATCTTGCACCCTATTTCCGGGTTTCTGTTATCAAATCGATTTAGAATGAATAGTTTTACGATACTTTAAAGACGTGGGTAAAAACTTGGGTAAATACCCGAGTTTTTACCCAAAAATTGGGCATAAACTCATTAACTGCCGAACCACTTGACATAGGCGGCCAAAATTTTGCACACATTCGGCAGTTAATGAGTTTATACCCAATTTTTGGGTAAATACTCAAAATAGGGGTACCTTTGTATGGGGGCTACCAGTAAACGTGGACCTACATACATAAAATTTTGCATGGACATTTGGTACCCAAAAAGAACACTCTGTGCCAAATTACAGCCAATTTGGCCTCAAAATGTGTCTAATAGGCTAAAAATACCTTAAATCAGGAGATACGGTTATATGGGGGCTATATCAAAACTTGGACCCAGGGACCCCATGTTGGATTTCTATATTTGCTTTGTCATTAGAAACAAGTGTGCAAAATTTTGGCCGCCTATGTCAAGTGGTTCGGCAGTTAGTGAGTTTATACCCAATTTTTGGGTAAATACTCAAAATAGGGGTACCTTTGTATGGGGGCTACCAGTAAACGTGGACCTACATACGTAACATTTTGCATGGACATTTGGTACCCAAAAAGAACATTCTGTGCCAAATTACAGCCAATTTGGTTGTAAAATGTGTCTAATAGGCAAAAAATACCTTAAATCGGAAGATACGGTTATATGGGGGCTATATAAAAACTTGGACCCAGGGACCCCATGTTGGATTTCTATATTTGCTTTGTGATTAGAAACATGTGTGCAAAATTTTGGCCGCCTATGTCAAGTGGTTCGGCAGTTAATGAGTTTTTACCCATTTTTCGGGTAAAAACTCGGGTATTTACCCAAGTATTTACCCACGTCTTTAAAGTATTGTAAAACTATCTATTCTAAATCGATTTGATAACAGAAACCCGGAAATAGGGTGTAAGATGTTGTATTACCGAGTCAATATAGTAAATACCCAAATAAATACCCGCAAATGGGTATTTACCCGGTATTTACCCACCCCTTGGGTATTTACCCGGTAAATACAATCTCTAATCATTGAGTGTGTTCCTGCTTATAAAAATACTTCTGGGCGTCATGTAGTTTTTACAGGATTTCTGTAATTGATTTCTCTGGAAGGTTGTATATCTCTGAGACTCCAATATAATTCTTTATCCCCAGAAAATCTTTATAGATTTTTTCGGCGGTTAAAGATCTTTAAAGGATTTCCTAATAAAAATATGTTAAAGTTGTATTTTGTGACCCGAAATTTCACATATCAAACATTTATGTTTGAGAATTTAGCTAGGCCATTGAGTTCATAAATAGCTAGAAAACCTACCCGAGGCCTTACATGGAAGTGGATCATCATGATCTGTGTGTATATTTTGTTCCGCAAAAATCTTCTATGCAGCAAATACTTCTAGGTTATTTCACACATGGTGAAACCTTTAAAAGATCTTAGTGGATATTCCGTAAGAAGTAGTACTCGATTTAAAATGTATCTGAGAGATATAAATATAAAATATACCATTATAAGGCATTTGTCAATTAGAATATCTATTTTGATATTTTGAGCTTTATTATAGATGAAAGGCCATCCTGAGGTCTTCTACAATGGTAGAAGGTTTTCTTATCCATAGAAGAATAAAAAACCTTCTTAAGAACTTCTGTAGGTGGAATACCACATGGGGGTCCACCCCCCTCCCCCCAAAATGATTTTTTCCCACAGTAAATTAAAGTTTGCCCCTGTGTACGTTGCTGCTGAGAGGAGTATACCTAAAAATATGGATTACTTTGAAAAGTTATTTTTTCGGAAGTTATATGAACAAATCTTCTGACTATATTAGATTTCTACAAGTCAGATTAATTGCATAAGGTCTCTAGAAGTTATTCTATTATTGTGAGAACTGTAAAAGGTTGTCCATCTATAAAAAATGTCTAGAAGTTATTCTAATAAAACAAACCTTGAAGTAACAAGTAAAACACTCCATGTACATAAGAAAACTCAATCAAAGGCTTCTTGAAAATTCTGCTCAAAACTCGAACTCTATCTGAAAAAATTCAGTTCAGTTTAGCTCGGCAATAATAATAACACAGCTGATATTGTTTTGTGTTAAGTCGATGCCTTAAGTGGACTTTAAATGTGTTGAATCTTATTATTATTATTATTTATTATTAAAATAAATATAAATAACAACAACGACAACAACCACAAAAGAATGAAAGAAAAAAATTAAAATGATTTTGTTTACATGCTCTCATTATTTCTTATTCAAAAAACCGAGATAAAAATTCATGTTTGTTGTAATGAAATCAAGAAAACGGATGGACTGATGGATGAAGAAGAATAAAGAAGAAAAATAAAACAACAAGAAAAATAACGAAGAAAATTGATAACTACAATGCAGGCAGGCAGTCAGTCACTTGCAGTTACAGAAGTCCGAACTTCGCTGGGCGTTTGCGATAATAAAGTCAATATTGAATGTGTAAACTTCTTCTTCTTCGTCGTCGTCGGTTACAAACAGCAGTATCCAAAAGTAAATTTAAAAATACCAGTTTCGTTCTCAAATATTTTCATGACAAATAAATGCAGAATTACCAAAACACCCAGTCGGAGAAATGCTGCGGCAGATAAAAACCTTCGGCTGGAAATAAACCCTACAGAAGTGATAACGACCTCTTTTTTTCCTTTCCCCATAACAGCAGTAATTATATATTTTAAAGAAACATTCAATTTTTTTTGTTAAAATAAAAAATACAAAAAAGAAAAACCATAACCAATGGTGAAGAAGAAGCTTGTAACAAAAACAACAACAATAAATGTGAATAAAAACAATTTCAACAACACCAACAACAACCAAAGAATTTTATATTCCAAAAAAAGAAAATACAGAAAAAACATGCAGCTGCAGAAATCCAAATCGACATATTTAATACAAATACAATAAGTTTTCCTGTTTAAAAAATAATAAAAAATAAAACAACAACAACAACAAATTAAATATATAAATAAAAGCCTTAAAACAAGTGCAAGAAAGAAGGAAAAGAAGAAGAAACGACAAAAATTTAACAATTTCTTCCTCTCTATATTAATAAATAAAAATAAAAGAATATTTATTAAAAATTTCTAAGTTACAACGGGCCTCACAACAACTCCAACATGCGTTTCACATATAATCAGTATAATGGCTACGATTCCGGTTATCGGATCCCTTCGAAAATCCACAACACCAATCTGAATCACAGTAACAGCAGCAGTAGTAGTAGCGGCAACAACAACAACAACCATGCCAGCCTCAATAGCCATCACCATCATCATCATCACACCAATGGCAATGGGAATTGCCTTGGCAGCACCAACATTGGCAACACCACCATCTCCTCCAACAGCAGCAACAGTAACAACAACAACACCAGCAATAGTCATTCAAATTCCGTTACCTATTATCATCCGTATTATAGAACTAATTTTGGTAAGCTGGATAACATTTAAGAAAAAATAATAATCTAAGAAAAAAATATTGAATTAAGATTTCGCAGGATGCATCTAAGAAATCTTCTACAAAAAATAGGGATTCGTTCTCTAGGGCTTCCCAAAAAATACACCTCACGTCTTTTTCTAAGGTATTACATAAATGTTAATTTTTGGATCACTTATAATTAGAAGACCCTCAGAATTTCTATAGATTGGTAATCTTCTGGAGGTCCTTCATAGATATAAGACTTCCTTTCTCAGTATACTTAAAAGACCTTCCTGAGGACTTTCAAAGAAGATAGGCATTTCTCTTCGTAATTATTAGCTTCTCCGATTTTTAATATATAGAAATTCTTCAGATAATCCACAGATGATAGAAGAACTTTCATAGGTCCTTTATAAATACAAGAAGACCCTGAGAACTTTCATAGATTCGATATCTTCTAGAGCTCTTTTCTAAATACGAGACTTCCTGAAGACCTCCATACTTATTAAAAATACCTTACTGAGGACTTCCAAAATAAAATTCCATTAAATTACTTTAGTTTATAAACTTCTTAAAGATCTTCTATAGGCGCAAGGGAGATTCATACTGGAAATAAAACTCCCATAGAGTGAGAACATTATCGATATTGTTTATAAACAAAGTCTCCTCAGATCCTTAATATAAGAAATTCTGCTGGGGACTTTTTCCTATGTCCATCATAGATTTGAGACTTTTTGGGAGGGAACCTTCCTGAGGACTTCAATATACGTTATTTTGATCTAGATGAGAGATTCTGATCACTTTTTTTATTCTAATAATACAAGTTCCAAAGGTGGATAATCTTTAAATTTATTTTAGATGGAATTTCTTGAGAGCTTCTTTCTGAGATCTTCAATATAGATTAGACTTCGTAAGATACAATTTATGACGTTCATTTGAAAAAAATCCTCTAAAAGATATCCTATAGATGGAATAGAAACTCGTTCTAGAATCTCTCTCATACAAATAACTACTTCTGATCTTCTACAGAAAATAAGATCTAGCTATGAATTGTATAGATACGAGACTTAATGAGAACCGTTACACTATAAAACTTTTCCGATATCCACAATACTTGGATGACGTCTTTCTGCTTTTTATAGAAGCAAGGCCGTAAATTATGTTCGTTTTTATCTCGAGATATATCTGGATATTCTGCTATAAATGCAAGAATATCCTGATAGAAAAAAATAATTTAGGTCTTCCATAGATCAAGAATATATATTTTTTAATTTTGGGAAACCTCCCAAAGAGGTTCGTTAATGAGAGACCACCAAATGTTGAGGTTTTACTCCAAAAAAATGTTCCATAAGAAGAATACTTTTCTAAGGTCTTCCTTAAATGCATTATTTTCTGAGACTTTCTAGAGCACAGGAAAAAATAATGAATATTTTCATAATTTAATTCTTTGTTGTTTTTTTTTAATATTGTACATGTACCTCGCTTAGGATACAAGTAAAAAATGCTTATAATCATGAGAAAGTCACTATTTTTTTAATGTAAACATTTCATTAACATCACAACTATTTTCCTACTTTGCTCTATTTATGCTCATTTGCTCTCTCTCTTTCTTTTCCCAAAAACAAATGCATTTCTCCCAAGAGAGTGGCCAACACTATTCATTGTTCGACTATGTTTTGTTTTGGTATCGTTCCCTGTCTCACCCCTCACTTGGTGGCTGTTAGTTTTGCAACCGTTTCTTTGACAACTGTTGCTCTTGTTTATGACCGTTGTCTCTCCGCACACTCGACTGTTGCTAGTTTTGCATTCTATTGTTTCAGACACTGTTACCGAACTCTGTATTTGTGTTATAAAATTCGCATATGCATTTTCCAAATTATTTCGATGTAAATGCTAAATACAACATAAAAAACATGTATTTATACGAGCCCAACCGAAAGGTTAACATTGTATATGTTTGTTCTAATGATGCAGAACATGAACATATAAGTAAATAAGAATAAAAAGACAAGAAAATAAGAAGAAAACATAAAATCAAAATAGAAATATTAAAACGACAAGAATTTATGTGTATAGAAACTCGCTAACACCACCACCAACAACACTCACACTCCCAAGTTGTTTTTCCGCTTTCTCTGAAAAGAAACATAAGTATATAGACTTCTATGAATTGCATTCATAAATGGCAAAAATCCCGACATTGGTAGATAAAAGAATCGATTCCATCTTTTCGATTTGTTTAGATGAAAAACATTTCAATTATGGAAACATTTCCTAATTCCTTCATAAAAAAAATACCCCTTATATATCTTTTACCGTCCTGTTAATATTATAGCTTAGGGACTGAAGACACCACCATTAAACGTTTGTGATATATTATACAAGAGGTCTTGCATAGGCAGAGGATATAGTTTCTATAGATTACAGATCAATCCATAGGTCATATATGGGTATAAAACCTTCATAATGTTTATCTAGACAGATGACTTGCGATGGTTCTGAAGAGTTCTATTGTTATATATTTTCAATTGTTCCACAGATCTTTTTTCTATAAATTGCAATCTTTTCTAGTTAGAATACCTTTCGAAGGATAAATAAAATACCCACTGGAGATCTGTGTCATATATATATATATATATATATATATTGCCCTTGAATAGTCTAATATTCGTACATGTGTTTACATAGAATACAACTTGGTATTTTATATTTAAACTACCATGATCTTCAATGTATATCGAAGGCATCTATCCATATACAAGCGACATCTACTCTACATTGAATACCCTTCGGAAATCATCTATTCATATAAGATCCGTCCCAAGTCTTCTATATTCTTCAGAGGCTTTATATATATAGAATATCCTTTTGAACTCTTCTATAACCAGAAGGATACTTAACACATAGAAGACCTGCAGCAGATTGAGTATATCCTCCGAGTGTCTACTACAAAGGTATCCGAAACCGGGGGGTATTTCAAACCTAGAAAACAATTCAGATGACATATAAATCTTGAGGACCCTTCGAAATAAAATTTTGAAGTAAATATTTAAAGTCCAGCCTCTTAAAAGTTCTAATAAAAATTTTTTGAAATCCTTGTTCTGAGGCTCTTCTAAACGTAGAAAACTTTTTGGAGGCCATCTACACCATAAAAGATATCCTCTCAAGGGCTCTTATATATAGAGGATTCCTTGGAAATCTTCTACATATCAAAGAATTTTTACACTTAGACGAACATTTCGCAGACATCAACACCTAGACCCTCCGGAGTTCATCTATACATAGAAAAGCCATCAAAGAACCATTCAAAGGTCTTCTAAACCTTAAAGACACCTCAGATGACATATAAATCCGAAGACCCAACGGAAAAAAATATTCTTAAAGGCTTCTGAAAAAATTTTAAGTACAGACTCTAAAAACATGCAATAAAAATATTCTTTGAAAAATCCACGCTCGGAAACTCTTTCATTTACTTGCCGTAGTCAGACGTGTTTTCTTGAAGCTCCGAAATATTCTGCAAACTGCGGTCCCCTACGCCAATCAGCAAGCTCAAACAACATTTGGATTCCAGGAAATATAACCTTACACCGTTTGCTTAATGTAAACAAGCAATAACACAGCGGTGAATATAAACAAATCACATTTTACAAAAAAAAAATCTCTTTACAAATTGTTAAATTCCATTGGAAAATATAATTGATACTAACATCAACAAAGATAAAAACAAACAACAGTGCTACTCTTCTATCGAACCTACAACGATAACACTTCAAACAGCTGGCGATAAAAGTGAGTTATCGATGATTCTGTGTTACATTTTACAACACTGGATCGTAAAAATCAAATGAGTGCTAAGAGAACGCTGTTATCGACATCTCCTGAAGAAACAGTCAACACTCCCAAAAAAAGACAACCACTCAGCAACATGTCTCAAAATACTCAAGATGTTTTTTCGTGGAACGGTTTGAGGGAATTGTTAGATGAGAAGCTACAGGATGTTGCAAGAAAGGACGATTTAATAGCAATGAAAACAGAAATAAGTGAGTTGAAAGAAGAGAATTTAAAACTTAGAGAGGAAATGAAAAAATTAACTGCCCGCTTGGAAACCGTGGATAAGAGATCACGACTATCAAATGTCGTAGTTAGTGGTTTAAGTTGCACTACATCTACACTAGCCAGAAAGGAATTTTTAAAAATATGCTCAAATGATTTAAAAGTCGATATTGATGTTATAAGTACACGCATGGTAGCATCTGGAAAACTTTTTGTATTTAGTCTGGGAACATGCAGTCAAGCACAAAGAGTTTTATCCTCAAAAAGATCCTTATATGGGAAGAAAATTTATATTCAACGTGACTTCACAGAAAGCGAACAAAGCGTGAGATATAACATGCGTAAACTCAAAAACGAAATTTTAAAAAAGAGGAGCGATATTAAAGTCAATTTAGCTGATTTCTCCATTTTCATAAATGATAAACGTTTTTATTGGGCCGATGGAAAAATAATAGCCCCAACTGAGAGTGACGTCACTTTCTTAACTGATATACTGGGTAATACAACATTTGAAGTCTCCTCTAAAGAAAGTATTTATAAAACTAATAGTTCATACACATCTAATTCACAATAGCAATGCAAATCGTACCATTTATTAGCATACAATGTTTCTAATCTTCAAAAAGCTTTGAGTTTTGGAAATTTTTTAAAATATATCAATAAATTTGAGATTTTCTTCTTGTTTGAAACTCATGTGGAAGTAAATAAAACGTCATATTTTTCGTCATTTTTTAAAAATTATTATATCCATTGGATTAATGCAACCAAGGTAAATAGATACGGTCGTGCAAGTGGCGGGTGCCTGTATGGCTTTAAAAAGGATGTTAAAAGCATACTTGAACTAGAGTTCGTTAATGTCAATGGTTTTACAATTTTATCTTCTAAGCTTAATGGATGTGTTTTTTATATAATCCCTTCATACTTGAATTGTACAAATTGGAATAGAGATGCGGAGCGTC